ACCACGTGGAAGAGATTCCTGTGTATTCAGGGCGTGGCTGTGAACGTAAAATACAAGATGATATGGGGGTTTCCCAAAATTAGGGGTTCCTTTCTGGGGGTCCCCATAATAAGGGTTATAGTACTTTAGGGTCTATATTAGGGTACCCCTATTTTGGGAAACTACCATATGAACAACGTCAAAAAAACTCAGACCGAATCTTTTACTATCCCTTCCGTATTGTTTATGAGAGGTTTTCCTAGCTTCGCAATAGAATCTTTTTTTGCTCCCTCTTAGATGGATATGGTCACGTAGGCTCCCGCAAACCCCCAATTAAATAGATCAGGTCATATCTTGTCGTATGGCGCGTTGCGTTGAAGATTTCAGATCTCTATCTTTCTTCGTGTCAAACCCTTCCAGCCCATTTCCCAGCCTCAATCTGCCCCGAGCCCCTCTTTCGGACCACTGCATCATCTCCTTTCATCTGAGCCAGGTATGCCCACGGCCCGCGCCTTATTGAAACAGCGGCAAGCAGCAACCAGGCTTAAATCCCAAGAATCAATCAATCATACGATGAGATAGTTTGCAAATTTTAACCAAGGCAGACTGTGCTAAGGATTTCCTGTGGCACATGTCTGGAGCCGGGCTATTAGTAAGGAACTAAGGTTTGGTGTTTGTACACACCGGGCCCCGCATCCACACGGACTTCCGCAGAATGCGATTCAGTCTCGCGTGGTGTCTGTACATGTGAGAAGCATGTAATCCGCACATGTCAGGGATCGCGCAGCAGCTTGGGATCTTATCACTGTGGGTTGATGTGGCATCCAAGAAGCAAAGGTCCTTACCAAGAGCACGCATGAGCTTCCACACTCAAAGGCTCGAAGGAAAAAACGACCAACCAATCAAGCACATCTCTGAACACTGCATGTCAACCCCTGATGGCTCTTAACCTCCAGCAACTCAGACCATCTGAGGACGATGTGCGCGTATTCACTTGGAAGTTTCTCGAGATTGTCGCTCCAGAGTCAGTCGCAGAGAGGTTCCCGTATACTCCCTCTATCATACCTACATATACGTACACACACGTATATGCATATACATATACAGAAAGCAATCTATGCTCCCAAAGTGCACCCCGTTTTCAGTACAATAACCACCTGGGACCTGCAGCTTGGCTTCCAACCAGCCCGAGTTTTTGTCTTCAGACTAAAGATCATGATGATGGGAAGAGCAGTTGTCAATACAGCTACCATTGCAACCATGCTGATGGCAGCATGGTCACTTTAGAACTGACTCCCTTAAGAACCAGAACAAACCGCGATGCTCTGAGTGAGATGTCCCTGGAGTCAAGTCATTGCTCTAGGAAGAACTCTGGAGACGCTGCACTGACCGTTTTTGACCCATTGTTTTTTTTGTCCATCTTCACCAAACTTCCTAAGGAACCCACAACACGCCCACCACAGATCAAAATGAAAGCCATACTTCAAGTACGCTTAGACTCATGAATCGCTACGCCCTGCGTTCCCGGAAGAAAGTTTCATCCACCAACGAATGTTTTATCAGATGTTATCATCACCTAAACTTTCACTGCCTCAATCCTGCGCTCTCAACCCAACACAAACCAACAAATCCTTAAATCACGGTACCGAAGCAAGCGCCCCCGCATCCCAGACCTTGTTCTGGAAGTCAAGCATGTGGACACCGGACCCTCACTCCTGGCAGACAAATGGCAGCAGCGCTACCCCTGTAAAAACCACCCTCTCCTACACGGAAGAAATATATGTTCGCGTGCACACCAGACTAATACGATCAACCTGGAAACTCATCATTGCCTTCGGGTTAATGTCAGAGAAATCATGAAGCTATTTGTAAGTTGAGAATGCCGAGGCAAGCCAGTCTGGAGAAGTTATACTGAAGTTTCCTTGGCAATATACCATGTTTCCCGATAACGCCATTAGGTATTTGGACAAGCTCCATTTCGCAATACTGCAAAATCCTTTGTCCTAAAAAAAATTGTGTAATGTTAAGAAACTCTGGGCAAGCAACTAAGGAGACGCATTCCTTGAAGGCCTTGCTCTCCTCCGCAGGGAAAAAGAAGCACAGGTCTACGTGGTGTGGGTTTGCGGTAAAGATTTGTTTTTTAATGCTCGGGTGTAGAAGGTTTAGGATCTACGAAGTTCAGGTTTAGGATCCAGGGTCTAGGGTCTGGCAAATTTAGGCTTAAGGATTTGGAAGGCTTGGGTAATGGTATGGAACTCTAGTTTCTTCAGGGGATCCGGACGTGCAAAACACACCGCAAATCTCGATGCTTTTGCAATTCTCCAACAACCATGTGACAAACATGTGCTCAAAATGTCTTTCATACATGTCTGGATTACCTTCTACCGGATTCCGCGAAGAAAAGCTTCAGCGGGTATTCATGACATGCAAAGAAAAGTACGAGTACAGCTCCAAAGGCAGCTCTGTATCGCCCACGCTTTGACTTTGAAAGAACAGGCATTTCCTAAGCTGTTCTGCTTGATTGCCTGAGGGAGCTCTTTAAACAATTCTCCTAAATTTGAACTCATCTTCCTAGCCATCCTTTCTTCAAATTTTGATCGCACGAGTAGTACAAAATGTGGTTACAATTTGTCCTTCCCATCCAAGGCTTGTGCGACTAGTATGGCAATCTTTTAAATGTCTGGCGGCATTTACAACAATAGTTGTTTGACATGACAACACCATTCATTTGTGATACGACAAGCTCGAATACAAGGAGTTCGTCCATTAGCTGTAGATCTAAAGGCGTAGTAGTTACACATGAATGGCACTGGCGTTTTCACTTCCTTGAGGTGAATGGGCTTTCTCTCAGTTTTTCTTGTATATTTGTTGTGGAGAATAGGGAGCTCTAGCTGGAAACTTCGCGTCCCAAGTCAGCTGCATGTCTGCTGTATCTTAACAACAATCTTTAACATGGGGGCAGGGAAGGGCTGGACTGGACCGTTCCTCCAGCACTCTAGCATGTGCTTCATATGCTGTTTTTGCTGTAGAAAAAAATTCTTAGGAGAATGGACCTTACTGAGTGACTTTTGAAATTTAACTTCTACAGTATTGGGAACCGCTAGGATACCCTATGAGGAACGATTGCGAGTTAATGCTATCCCTTAACTTCGGGTCATAAGGTTTTCTTGGTAAAAAGGGAACAGTGCACCTCTTGTTGCTCCCACACTGCTCTCTGGTGCCCCCCCCCATCTCCCCCCCTTGCCCACCTCCCTGGCCCCCTCCCCCCACGCCTCCCCACCACCCTCCCCTCGTCACCTGGCCTTGCCCGCCTCCCTGGCCCACCCCCCCGCACGCCCCACCCCCACCCAGCCAAATCAAACCAACTGTTAGGTTTTCACACTGCTCTCTGGTGCCCCCCCTTGCCCGCCTCTATCTGGTGCCCCCGCCCCATCTCCCCCCCTTGCCCCCCTCCCTGATGCACCCCTGCCTCCCTGGCCCGCCCCACCCGCCCCTCGTCATCAAGCCAATTGTTGAGCCCAAAAAAGGACCAGTGCACCCTTGTTGCTCCCACACTGCTCTCTGCTGCCCCC